TATTCCAAGGTCACCGTAGCCACCAAATCCAATACATATCCAGACCAGATGGTGGGTCAGCACCTAGAGGACCTCTACAGCCCTGAAAGTCGGCAGAGACATCTACGCTAATATTAGTCTGTTTCTCTTATTCCAAGGTCACCGTAGCCACCAAATCCAATACATATCCAGACCAGATGGTGGGTCAGCACCTAGAGGACCTCTACAGCCCTGAAAGTCAGCAGAGACTAGGACAACTAGATGAGCCCCAGATACAGATCCCCAGTAAAGACCTAGTCTCAGATGGCCACCGGGACAAGACCACAGGAGCCAGTTGAGCCCTCTGCACAATGTGACTTTGCTGCAGCCTGGAATTCAACTGCTGTTTCGTCTGGCCAGAGGAGAACTGGCCCTCCCAACTGAGCCTGGTTTCTCCCAAGGTTTTCTCTCCATTCTGTCATGGCATTTTGGTTCCTTGCCACGGTTGCCTCTGGCTTGCTTAGTTGGGGACACTTCTTTTTCAGCGATATCGTTGACTTGATTGCTCCAATACTACTTAAACTAAACTGAGCTGGATGACACTGAATTCAGTGAACTGCCTTTAACTGAAATTAAGGTTTACTACTGTCCCTTTGCTTTGACACTATTGTCCTAATTAATGCTGTACAGTTGCTTTGACAATCTGCATTGTTAAAAGCGCTATATAAATAAAGGCGACTTGACACGTCACTCAAGAAACTCAGTCTCACAGTACTCATGCATGGCGGTATGTTCTCAGCCCAGTCAAAAAAATCAAAAATAAAATCCTGTCATGCAGACAGACGTTAATCAAAACCCTCAATTTGGTACCTTGTGTTGTGCCCCAGGGTAGTAACTGGAGGTTGGATAAATGTAAAGTTAGTGGCTTGTGCAGAAACCTGGACTCAGAATGCATGACCTTACAAAAAGGTACTGGAAAGTTAGTTTAATAGTGTAGACCAAGAAACAAACTGGGTACATGCACGTAACTTCAGACTCTGCAAGGTCAATACAACAGACAAAGCCATCTTGCTGCTTCAAAAAGCTTATTAAAACAGCTAGATTTACATGATCAGTGTAACTTCTCCACTAGAAACCACAGTCTGCGCACTAGAGATGGTCTTAACATTAGTGTCCCTTCCTGTAAGAGAAGAAAAAAAAAAAATTTGGAAGTGAAGGCCAATTATAACATTCTCAGTTAATCTAGTCAAGAACTCACTCTTCCTGCCACAGCTTTGCTCACAGGAGCCAGAAGATGGATGGCACACTGCTGTACTACAGTGGATGAAGATCTGATAGGGAGGAAAGAGGGTCAAATCATAGAATCTATAAGGAGTAAAATTAAGGTTCAAGTAAGGGGGAGCATACGGTTTCCTGCAGAGGAGCCAGGGGAGCTTGTAGCATTTGTCAGAGATTAACGATTAAGAACAGCATAGATCACCTACTCAAAATGGCTGTCCCTTGTGATGGAACCAAACGGTCCCATCCCCACTTCATACGAGGAGGTCATTCTGTTCTCATACACCACATAACCACTGTCCTCCTGCAAATAGCAACACTGTTGGCATCCAGTCCATCATAGGCCATGAAGCATAAAACCATAAGCAGCTACTTGCCATCATTCTTGTACCACATGCGGTCACAGGGAACTGGTATACAGCAAAGGAAGGTGTGGACCCCACAGGACTGCAAGGTGGGTCGTTTCCACCCAGTAGATGGACTGAATCCAGACTCAGTCGAGGCAGTGTAACATCTCTAGCCACCACTACCACAAACTGACCATCTCTTATACACTGTATAGTCACTGGAACACAGGTACAAGAGCAGGTTAATGTCGAGGATCAGTTTAACTGGGAGCATAACAGCAACTCAACACTCTTACCTGCCTTCCCATAGTAACACTGCTGTCCGTTAAAGCAGCAGTTGATAGCTTCACATTCAGCACCACTGATACCAGGTTGTCCACATTGGATCTGCTCATAATCAGCTACAGCACATTTGTCCAAAGGCTCTGCCTTCGTCACTTGCTTCTGAAACTTCTGAGGAAACTGCTGATTAGTCTGTTGAAACGGCTGCTGAAATTTCTGAGGAAACTGCTGATTAGTCTGTTGCGACAGCTGCTGAAACTTCTGAGCAAACTGCTGATTAGTCTGTTGAGCTGGCTGCTGAAACTTCTGAGGAAACTGCTGATTAGTCGGTTGCGACCTTATTTCCACCTCAGAATAAAAAAATGAAAAAGGTAATAGCAACTGTTTTTCTAGCAATTGTGAGTTTCTATCTCATAGTTTGCTTACATCTCGATGCTGACTTTATTCTCCAAATCTACCTCTTTCATTCCTTGGGGGAAATAAGCTTCTATTGAAGTATGTAAGTGAAGTTTATTGAAACCACTTGAGAATACAGAGTTAAAGAGAAACCCTGACAGCTTTTATTCTTTAAGATCAGACCTCAGACTTTCTCTAGTAAAACATGACTGCTAAAAAAATAAAAAAAAAAAGAGCAATCTGAGGTAACATTACTAAAGGCGGGCGTACACGGTGCGATTTTTGCTGTCGTACGAGCTCGCAGGCGATTTTTTTCTCTCGGGAGAAAATCACAGATGCTCACATGGCCGCGGCTCGTACTGCGTGAGAAGAATTAAGGGCCGATCCGAGACGTTACGAGCACCTCCCGTCCTCCCGATTATTTTCAAACATGTAAAAAAAAATGCTGAATGTGCCAAATTTGCCATTCAGCTTTATGAATGAATATGCCTGTTGTATTTCCGGCAAAATTAGTAGAAATTCAGAAATGGCCTACTCCCCGGAGTTCTTTATGAAGAACATAAAGTCCATGCTTTTCTCTGCTTTTCAGCCATTCTCTTTGCCATGTCCTTTGTCTTCGGTTTTTTTTTTGGCCGTCACAAGCCGCCTGCCACAAAGAAAACTATTTCGTCCTCAGAATCCATATTTTTATGAATGGTGCGAAACATAACGTAATGCTCCCGTCAGAGTTGGTAAAATCGTAGTAAATTCGTGTCGTGTGTGACTGCCTCCGTACGATTTTCGGATAAACTCAATCGTGGCATGTGCCAGAGCTCACGGCGTTCCGACCTTCAGAATCGCACCGTGTACGCCAACACTGCACTGGCTACCTTTTAAACATTGTATACGCCCCCACATATCTACCTCACTATGTGGAAATATTAGCGAAGCGTTTGAGAGAGGCGGGGCATAGAGGACCTACAATAATGTACAGTATTTGAAAAATAATGTGTATTTTGAACATTAAAGCATGTCAACATATTCTGTTAAACCAAATACACAAAATAATGATCTTTAAAAAAGCATCATATGACCCCTTTAAGCCAGGTTTCAGTAAGGAATAAGAAGTATTTCACTCCACAGCGCCATCTGTCTGTGTTTAGTCAGTACTGCAGGCTGACTTCATAGTGAACGAAACTAAAACTCCTAGTTAAGAATATGTTTTCTATTTATTTATTAGTCCTACTGCATATTATATAAAGGAGCGTGAGGCTTGCAATCAACCAGTTCCAAAAAGAAACACAAAACTAGAATAGAAACAAGCTGACAAAAAAGATTGAAATCACACTTTGGTGATTATATATAGCATAACAAGAGATTTATAAGCAATTATTTGGAGGCCAGGTATTTTTGAGTGTAACAAGGTGGGAAAAACCCCCAAAAGAGTACAAAAATTATCCAAAAAAAATTTAAATAAATACATTTGTAACAGAAAAGCACCACAGAAATACATGATTATATATTTTATTTCAGTGTATTTACAGTGAATTCTTCATGTGTTCCTGTACATTTGTAGCATACTGAACACCCTCTTACTGTAAAGATATTTTACAACTTTGAGAAAAATACCCTAAGAAGCCTGCGGTGAATCTATAATTCTAATCAGATGAAACACAAACACGTCACGAACTGCACACATCAGATTGTCGACATGAAAACATCATCATAACAATCATATTTACAGTCAAAACAGCCTATATACTGTATGTACAACATTTCCTGTTATGATGTGTGTGAATGTGAGGGTGCGAATCATATTCTGCTTCCAATCAAAAGAAATATCTCCATTTTGCATTCATATAAAATATAGTTTTTGAACGCTGATCTCAAAGGTTTCTCAACGTGTGCAGATCTTTCATCTTATGCTGCACGAGTGCTTTCATTTAGAGGATTCATTTTCATATGCAACAATTTAATATTTCCTAAACAAAACGATAATATTCCTGATGATGTGTTTTATTTGATAGATATTGTCCTAAAGCAGCATATCTTGCAGAATCGTAAAGCATGGGTCTTGAGTTTGTAGTCGAGCTGTGATAAATGAAAGCACTATTATTATATCACTATATCACTGTTTAATACTGGATTCTGATTGGCTGACAGATGTTTTTAGGTGTTATTAATGTTTGATATCGTGTTTCTGAACTAATGAGGGCATCTTACATTAGATACTTCAGCAGTAGAATGTAATTCTATACATTTTATGGACCAAAACCTGAAAAATATCATGAAATAAACACATAAATGTGGTTGTACAAGTGAAATAGTTGACAATTAACTGTTTTGAGCTACTGAAAATTAATATTGACCCAAGACACTTTATTTAAGGTTATTGTAGATAACTAAAACTGAAACTGAAATTAAAACCATAAAAAAATTAAAACCATAAACCATTTAAAAACATACACAAATTTTTGTTACTTGAAACAAAAAAAATAATTAAAAAAAATATTTTTTATTTTAGTTAGTTTGCAAGATAAAACTTCTCATTTTAATTTAATTTCTCATTTAATTTAATACTCAATGTACTAAAATAACTAAAGTTGAAACTGAAATAAAAAAGAATAAAAAAATATATGGACACACATATATATATATATATATATATATATAATTTAAAAAAATGAAAACAGAAAATATAGAAATAAAAAGTGATTCAAAATATTATTAAAACTTATAATAGCATGTCAATGATACTGAAATAATGCTGTTTTTGAGTATCTTAAATGTTCATTTTACATACAGTTCCTCAAAAAGTGTAAATGCTTGAAGAAAAAAAGCTTATTTTTGTGATTCTGAAAGAAAACTCCATTTATAACTGTACTGACTGTATATACTCATCAGTATTTGTGTGAAACACTAAACCGCTGTTGTTCATATCTGGACTGATCCACAGAGGATTCTGGTCAGAACTCGTCTTCTGAACTGTCAGCCAGCAGCATGGCGTTGTCTGGTCCGCTGCGCACTTCTCTGGGAGGCTGGAAATCAGCAACGTTGCACAGAAATCACAAGATTAAAAGATGAATCTACTGAAGCTTTCAGGAGCTGGTATGATGGAAAACATCCAGAACTTGTGATTCTGAGGTTATGCTGGACTCTGAGCGCCGTACCTTCCTCCTCTGGTGTTTGAAGCTGTTCCTCCTCTTGCGATGGATCATCCTGATGCTGTACAGAGCGCCGACCAGCAGAAGAGCTCCGGCTATTCCAATCCCGACCGGAGTCAACATCCCCGACACATAACCAGCCTACGAGAGACCAGCGGAGAGCTTTAATGCTTCTGAAAGAGTCTCTTCTGCTCACCAGGGCTGCATTTATTTGATCAAAAACACAGTAAAAATTAAATGCAGCCCTGGTGAGCAGAAGAGACTCTTTCAGAAGCATTAAATAATCTGGTAGTGCATTTCTGCAGCACTAGCATTTTTCCAGTGTTGCATCAATATGAAAACAAACGAGTCGTACCTTCTCTCTGATAAGTTCAACCCAGCTCCGCACTGCAAACAACAAACAGAGAACGAAGTGTGTTTATTAATGCTGATGTACAGATGAGATTAACGTGAGCCCGGCGCGTGACTCTCACCCAGGCCCTGGTTCCGCTGCACCCAGACGGGAGGAGGAGGGATCAGGCTGTACGGCAGACGGGTGTGAGGGGCCACGGTGCTCTCTGTCAGGTCCTCTTCGCTCTCCTCCTCATCAGAGTCCATCTCCTCTTCCTCCTCATCTTCATCCGGCTCCTCTGTAAGACAAGAGACGTTCAGCTCTCACGCGTCAGACACCAGCGCCGCTGCTTTAAACACACATACAAACCTTTCGATTCGGGATCGTCCGTGTCTGTCTTTGACGGTTTTGACGCTGGTAAGTGAACGAGCTCAGAGACCGTCACAGCCTCATGGGTAACGGAGCTCTGTGTGACATCATCACCTGCTAGACCAATCAGAACACTTTATATGAGCTTTTGTAACTTAACAGCATTTTCAGAATATCAACAATCTATATCAGAAGTTAAAGTTTATGTTTCTAAACAGCACATATTGTGTGTATAGAGGGATGAAACAAGCATCTTAGAACTTTCAGTTCCGTCGTCCTGAAGTCAGTGGGATTTGGGTTTTTGGTTAAATGCCTGAAATGAGGTCTGTGTTGAGCACAAGCTCAAGATATTTCACATTTATTCTAACGCAAAAAAATACATCAGTAAAACCAGCTTGTGATTTTTTTTAAAGCTGTTGAAAAAAGGTGGTTGCTAACAAGTGTTAGTGAATGGGTGCCGTCAGAAGGAGAGTCCAAACAGCTGATGAAAACATCACAATAATCCACATGCAGTGAGACAGTGATGCAATGCTACATTTCTCCAAATCTGATGAAGAAACAAACTCATCCTGATCTCGGATGGCCTGAGAGTGAGCACATTTTCAGCAGATTGTATTTTTCAGATGAACTATTCCTTTAATTCTGTGAAGACTATTAGGATGACTCAAACTCTTATTGGTCACAGAGTTCCTTTTCTGCAATAATCCAAAAGCCAATAGAAAAATCCTATTGGGTTTTAGTCGAGGGAATCAGAATGATGCTCCAGAAATATGCCATCACTGCTGCGCTCTGTTATATATTCTCACGTTGTGTCGTCCCATAATGCTCTGCTTCCGGATGGGACTCTGTGATTGGCTCTGTCGCTCCAGACGTCTCCAGCGTTCCTGAGAGACGGCCGTCAGAGGAAATGTGATCCGTAACCATGGACACCATCCGCTCCAGCTCTGGGTCTCCCATGGTTACGGCCGCTGGCGTCATGGCGACAGACGGTCCGGATGATGCTCCGGGTGCTGTGACGTCCTCAAATGGCTCAAAAATCAGAGGAAGGTCTTCGGAGGACATGGTGACCTCTGTGCTGACGTCCTGAGAGGAGGGAAAGACACTCACTTCCTCTGGAGAAGGAAGTACAGGACAGGAAAAGGAACTGATTTACAAGCAGTCCAGTCAAAATATCTGAATCACTTCTCATATTCTCAGAAAGCCCCAGTAATCTCACACGTGTCTCTCAGAAAATTCATAGGAAATCTCAAACTGGGCTCAGATTTGCTCAAGATGTAAAAATAAAAATATAGTTTTTGTTAATATTTAGAATTAAATGTCATTTTTATATTTCCTTTTTTTTTTAAGTTTTAGTAGTTTTGTTGTGTGTTTTTGTCATTTTTTTTTAAATATGTCTGTATAAGTTTTTATTAATGTTTATTTCAGTTTTGGTTATTTTAGTGCATCAAGTTAAACTAAATGAAAATGAGAAATGCTGTTTCTGAATAAACTGTAACTGAAATAAAATACGTTTAAAAAAAAAATATATATTTTATTATTTATTTAAGTTTTAGTAATATTTTTGTGTTTTTCTCATTTTTATTAGTTTTTTAAATTTTATTATTTTATTAGTTTTTTTAATATGTCTATATAGTTTTTATTAATTTTATTTCAGTTTTAGTTATTTTAGCATAACATTTTTTGGCAACTACCTGAAATAAACGAATGTTTTTTTGTTTTTTTTTAATAAGTATTTTATTTTATTTTATTTCAGTTAAAGTTTATTTTATTCCTTTGTTTGTTTGTTTGTTTTATTTTAAATGTGTCTATATTAAGTTTATTAAGTTTTAGTTTTTATTTGGCAACTAGCTGAAATAGAAGGAAGGAAAAGTAAGTGCATAAGGAAAAGGAACTGATATACAAGAACTATAATATGCAGTTCAGTCACAAATGGTTGCTGCTCATTTTGTGAAGTGAAATAAACGATCTAGTTAAGCTTCGTTTGATGCATCATTGCATTCCCACTTTGAGAAGTCGTCTGCATTTTCTGTAATTTCCATGACGCATTATTGATGCATTAATGTTTTATAAATGCTGCATCAGTTTCAACAGCAGCCTGAAACAATGACTGAACTGATATTTGACACATACTGGATTTCATGTTGATTTAATGTCAGACATCGTGAACCAAGAACATCAAAGCCGTCAGGAGTGTTAGCATGAATAATGTGTGTCGCCTCTTTTAGCAGTCAGTTCCACTTTCTTCCAGCAGCTCTCAAAATAGAAAGTAATTAGGCTGCCGGCGGCATCCGCTGAGGGTTCAAAGTGGAGCGGGACGCTCTCAGACATCATTCAGTGTGATTTAGAAACTTTACAACACGGACACAGTTATGGAACTGAACTGATCTGAATAGTGACTCTATTGTTCTCTATAGAGCTGCTTTACAGCTGCATTTTGGAACATTAACACTGTTATTTTCCTGTTTATTACTGTGAAGCTGTGAATCTGTGAATCTGCTTCTGTGGTAATTTAGCATGATTGATACTCTCATAATTTGTGTTAATATTTTGAACCATGCAGGTTATCATAGTTAACTAAAACTAAAACCGTAAAAGAACGTTTTGGTTAAAAAATGTTTTTAATTATTTTATTTCAGCTAGTTGCCAAAGAAACATTTCTCATTTTCATTTAGTTTAACGATGTACTAAAATAACTAAATTTAAAACTGAAACAAAAATTCATAAAAAACCGTATAGACAAATGACAAAATCTAAATGACTAAATATAAATGAAAATGAAAATAGAAAATGCAAAAATATAAACAAGCCTAATTCAAAATTAAAACTAATATTATCTCAATACTAAAATAACAGTTTTGCATTAGATTTTATTTTTATATTCTGTTTTCATTTTTAAAGTTTTAGTAATTTTGTTGTGCATTTTTGTCAGTTTTATTCGTTTTCTAAAACATGTCTAATTTTAGTTATTAACTAAATGAAAATGAGAAATGTTGCCTTTGTAACTAGCTGACATTAAATAACTTAAAAAAAAATTATATATTTTTTTTAATTATTTCAGTAATTGTTTATTTTATGTCAAGTAGCAAAAATACATTTTTATGTTTTTTATTGTAAAATAAAAACATCAAAATTCAGAGATCTCAGTATGAACTGAGCTGCTCCACATTCATTGTAGAGCTTGTAGATCTTTTGGGTCTGAAATACTTCAATGACAGATAACTGAGAGCATGAATGAGTGAACTCTGAGCGAAACAATGGTCATTTGTGCATCGCTCCCTCACCTGCCTGCAGACGATCCGCTTCGGTCCAGGTATCAGGCGAGTCCAGCAGTCTGGAGCTGAAGCTCAGTCCGGATTCAGCTGCTAATCCAGCCGGCGAGTCTCCGCTGGTGAGCGGCGAGAGGCTGAACGCGTCTGACTGAAGAGCTGAAGGAGTCGGTCCTCTGTCCTCCGCAGATGAGTTCCAGTGAAGCGTGTCGCTTCTCTCCAGATCTCCAGCAGGAGGCGTCGTCAGAGACAGAGAGACATGAGAATCTCCAGAGGACAGATGCGTGGTGTTCAGTCGTCTGTCCTCGTTTCCATCCGCTGCAGATGCTGGTGTGGTGTTGGGTTCTCCACCGGTGATGCTCAGGGATGTGTTGGGGACCGTCAGACTGCAGGAGTCTGAATCCAGTGATCTGTCAGCTGATGCCGACTCTTTATCTTCTCCACGAAGGTCTCCTGGGCGTTCAAGTCTCCCATGTGGGACGGCCCAGCTTACGAGACAGATCGCCACCAACAGGACACTTTGGAAAGTTGCACCAGTGAACATTGTAGATCCGTCACTCGGCATGAAGTCCAGCCGAAGTTAAACGTGACCGAAACACCAAAGCACACTTCCTGTAGAAGATAAAACCCCATGCGCTGTGGTGTGAACTCAAGATTTCGCTCTTTATATAAATAAAAGATCGTTTATATTTTCATATTATGAACATGAGGTGCATGCATTGCTTTTAGACGTTCTTAGACAACTTTAACACCAAGGGTGTTGGTTTGATTGTGGCATTGGTGGGCAATAACGGCCGACAACAGATTATTGCTAGGGACAATTTAGTAGTTGCTGGATATTGGTGGGAACATGTCACAGCGTCTACACCCTTGATTAACACATATTGACAATGTTTTTAGTTCATTAGATATCATTGCATATTGAAGGGCCCTGAAATCTGCACTAAAAGCCTCACAATTGAATGATAATTGAATGTGTTTGCATAAAGAATTCAACTTTTTACAACAGCTGTTCATGCTTAAATGAGATGTGTTTAAGGAGAAAACACTGGTGCTGTATATTTTATAGCACAATTAAAATGAACAGTATTGGCTGTAAAACAACAACAACAACATTCAAGGCTGTAGAGTTTAGTAGAGATGCTTTGACACGTTCCTACCAATACCCACAGACTACTAAATTGTCCCTAGCAATAATTTTGATGAAACGATTAAATATACGTGTATGTAAGCACTGTTGTTGTAATGTCGGCGCATCTGCTAAAGGTCACAGCATTGATATTATCTGAGAAGAACATATAAGAGCAGAAGTGATTCAAACAACTGAATGATAAAGTTCACCCTCTTTAACTTGATGTTGTTCTGCTGTTTTGTGTTCATCTGCTCTTTTTACATTGACTATCGCTCTATAGAGACTCATAGAATCACATACAACAACAATTTCTCAGATATTCTGATAAACTGAAGATTCACTGGATGCTTGCAGCTGATTTCTATTGAACTGTCAGCAACTGAACTGCAGTGCAAACTATTTCAGATATAGTCACTTAAGTCACAAACTCAATGTTTCCATCTAACATGTATCTTGAGCTGCAGCTCGTCACATTAATTGAGTATTAATTCACCTGAATATGTTCTAGATTTGTATTGGATGTTATCTTTGGAATTTTTATTTGTAAACATCACACTTTTTCCGCTTATTTCAGTTAATGCCATACAACTAGCGAGTTTAGCCAGTAGTAGAGCTGACAGTGTCGTGTAAACACGACTGAAGACGAGAAAAGAGAAACAGACGAACCGATTCAATTGAGTGAGTCATTTACTCTGGAACCGTTTCGATTGATTCAAACTCGGGACTTCGATCATTCAGTTCAAAAAGTAATACATTTACACACAGAATGAATGCAGAGATGCAGTTTTCACTGCTTCAGGATGAACCGAACTTCAGATAGTTTCATGTACTTGTTCAGATCAACTCTGAATAAAGAAAAGAGAGATTTAGAGCCAGATTTTTGTGAAATTTGGATGAACTCATGAATCTGTTGTGTGACCTCTTCATATTTAAGGAGAAAACTATAGTTTCTAAAGTCAGATATGGCTTGTTATGATTTTCAAGGCTGTAGAGTTTATCGCTATGACATGTATATTCAGCACTGCTAAATTTTTCCTAGAAATAATTTTGATCAAACAATTAAATGTCTGTGTGTTATTCCCCACCAATGCCACAATCAAACTTGACAACAATATTAGATTTGGTGAATTTATATTAATGATGATGTATATTTTAATGTTAAGTGCTGCTAGTTTATCCATCCATTCTGTCATTTTCTTGCTCTTTCAGTTCTGCAGCAGTAACTTGACACACACACACACACACACACACACACACACACTACAGCAGTGTCTAAAAATAGCACAGAGCTCGTCTCAGAGACAAAGCGCCCTACTCTATCATGCAGACATGTTGATTCATCATTATTGCTCTGCTTGCATCGTTTCATACAAACATTCTTGCAGGCGTGTGATTTTCTCACGCGTAATTTCTGGACTGTCATCAGTGAATGTGCTGCGTAACTCCTGGTGTCTCTGCATCTGTGACTGCGCAACGGGCAGATTCCCCCGAGTGCTGTGTGCGTGGCTGCATTATGAGAATGACAGGAATGAGGCTCGAGCTCACCTGCTGTGTGTCTCATGTCCAGCGCAGCGCTCCGATCTTTAGTGGCTTCATCAGCAGTCGCTCTCAGAGAGTCTCAGAGTCTCCGTCTGCGTCAGATCGAGCCGCGCGTCACGAGCATCTGCGCAGCTACAGCGGCGACAGCTGCACTAATTATTATTCTGATTAATATTAATAATAATAATAGATATTAATTATGATTACTTTATGATTTTAATATTAATAATAATTTACACTTATAACCAAACTTTGGATTCAAATTATTATTATTATTTTTATTGTAGTAGTTATTATTATTATTATTGTTGTTGTTGTTGTAGTTATTATTATTATTATTGACTAATGTTATTTTTTAAATATATTTAAATATTTTTAATGATAATACTCTTAAAACATATTTGACTTAAAATCTAATTTTGGTTTCGAATGATTATTATTTATTGTAATTAATAATTATTATATTAATAATAACTATCATTATTATTATCATTTTAACATTATGAAGTACTTGTTTAATGATAAAACTCTTAAAAAAATTATTTGACTCAAAACCAAACTTTGGTTTCTTATTATTATTATTATTATTATTATTATTATTATTATTGTTGTAGTTATTATTATTATTATTATTATTGTAGTAGTTGTTATTATTATTATTAATATTATTGACTAATATTGTTTTAAAACATATATATTGATATATATTTTAATGATAACACTCTTAAAAAATATTTGACTTAAAACCAAATTTTGGTTTCAAATGATTATTATTGTTAATTGTAATTTATTATGATTATGATTATGATTGTATTTGGATGTATTTAAGGACAAAACACTTTAAAATGCACTCAAAACCAAACTTTGGTTTCAAATGATTATAAATTGTTTTTATTATTTTTTATTATTTATTGGGCTATATTTTGAAGTAGGCTACTTGTGAAGTACAGGTACTTGTTAATTATAAAACTCTTTATCAGTAAAACGTGAAAATAAGAAATAATGAAATAATGAAAATTAATTCCTGGTTCATTCCCACATGTGAGGAACTGATCTCAGATCAGCCATGTCAGTACACCTACCGCTACACAGAAGAACACAACAGTATGATCATAGAAACGTGTAGAAAATGTTTGTGTGTTGGATTAACTGAATATTATTAACGGTTGCCGAAATGATTGTTAGTCAGGCAAACGCGGGGCAGCCATTGCGAAGGACCCCGGCCGCCCTTCCGTCTGACGCGGTGTTCGTCAGCGCTGTGTTTACATTCTAATAATTCTGTTTTCTGACACTTCTAGTGATTTCTATCGATAAAAATGCCCTTGTTCGAAGGCTTGGGCAGTGGGGGGGAGAAGACAGCCGTAGTCGTTGATCTAGGAGCGGCCTACACAAAGTGAGTGCGGTAACGAGGCTGAGATAGATATAAATAAAGTGATGTGAAAGATGTTTTAGTCAAAAAGTCCTCATTCTTCAGTTCGTCTTTAAATCAATGACACTAACAAAAGTATTATGTTACCATGGTTTTAGGAGCACGGTGGCGTGTAAATACCATGTTATTTGAACATTTACCGTGCTAATACCATGGTAGTAATTTAGTACTCAGCAAGTATTTGTAAAACTATTCGTAAATACCATAAAATGTGGGTGAATCTCACGGAACCTGTCAAAGTCAGATTTTACTCCATAATTTATGCTAAAATATAAAAAA